AATAAAACATTAAACATTATGTTGGAGCAAATATGTGCATAAATGTCTCTGTGCATGTGTGTGCACTAAATGCACGTTGGTGAGATTTCAAGCATCGTCATCAGTTTCAGTTATATTATCTTCTCCTCCACCAGAAATCAGAGATCTGGAAATCCCTGAAAACTACCAGGTATGTCAGTAATCTGGTCTAGTTCTCCTGTGCACTTGTTTAAACAGTACATGGAGGTCAACAGCACGTTTTACAAAGACAGCCAAGTGCACACTAACCTGTAGCCTGATTATAACCCAAGCTTTTGGCCAAAAAATGTTATCTTATCCAGATGCTTTGGTCTAGTTTTTGCTCAAGGGCACAATAACATTGTGGCACACAGAACAACTTTAATATCCTTGTTACTAAAAATGAATTGCAATGGACCAAACAGTGATCACATGTTTAAACATGCTTTTATTTTAATCGATAAATAAATGAGAGCCACCGGGCCAGTAGTCAGTCAGTAGCCTCAGTGAAATTCATAGTTGTTGCCAGTCACGTCTACCATCCCATGGGACATGGAACAGCTGAGCTGACTGACCCACATCACACGTACAGAGCTGCTTCTCACTTCTCACTTATATGCACAGAAAACATCAGCAATATCTTGGAAATCCACATTGTGGGGACATGAGTGCTGAAACAAATATGTATGCCTCCTCATCATATTCTGACTGTGTACTGAATTTCATATCTGAGACAAGTGCCTGCACAGATCCCATCAGGTGTCACACCCCACCCCCACATCGCTGAGGGGTTTTAATATGTCTTGTTTGGGCTGCAGCTGCCCTCATTCTTTCAGACCAGCAGGCCTGCTCCTGCAGTCAGCCTCCCCCTAATCTGGAGATCAGAGTGTTGAACAAGTGGGCATACCTAACCCTGACCCTGCTGATGCAGTGTGCGAGGCCGAATTCACAGTGTGCATGGGAAGAGTTAGTCTCCAGATTTTCAATAAGGTGTTAATGGTATAGTTTGTTGCTCAGGGATATCAGAAAAATGTACATGAAGAAGTTTTGCTTTATACGACTTGTGTGTAATTAATTTAGCATCATGGGACGTCCATGTTTTAAGATACTTATGTCAGGTCAAGCAACATTAACTATTCTTTGATTTGTTATTGATTTATTTGCTTTGGATGCTTATAACTTAGCCACAAGCAACAGCGTCACTGCTTGATCAATTCAGCACAGATGGGTCAACTTTGTCTGCTTTTGTGCAGAGTTCACTCCAGTGCATAAAAACACACCATTCCTTACATGAGGCAGTTACGCAACTCATTAACCGCTTTATGTGTAGGTCCACATACTTTCCTATTGCACAAGTTTCATAAGGCTGTGCCAGATTAGATTGCATTAATTTAAACGTACTTCCTTGGCAATGTACCACAGACACTTATGTAACAGATATTAGTACATAAATAGGGTTTCAGGTTTCAAAGGACACAAAGATTTTTAAACCTCTAAAACTGAGAAGGGAAAGTTCTTGGAGTTATGAATACACTGAAATACACAAGCTTCTTTTTCTCCTGGTCCATGTTTGAGTACTTTGATAAAATAATGGCAAAGTTATAGACGGAGGAAAATATCACATAACTTGATTCGATTAATTTTCACATCATGAATAAAATTAATAACATAACCCAAGACAAAAATATGACAGGCCTATACATTCATGGGGAAACAAATAAAAAACACAATTTATGACTCAACAGCCTTTATTTGAAATTATTCACATTTCATCTCCCCCTCCATACATAACAGTAGGAGCTGATTTTCCATAGGCCCCGACCCCCTGAGGAGACCCTTGTTCGCCCGTAACAAAGAAAGTTCGCCTTCCTTTCTGGGAGGGAAATAAAAACTAAACTAAACTGATGCCTGCAGTGAAAAAAACCCACTTTTTACATATCTTAATGTAATCATCT